TTTTTGAAGAAATTTGGTATGCTTGATTGCAATCCTGTAAAGACTCCTGTAGAGGTTGGCACAAAATTATCAAAGGAAGGAGATGACAGATTAGTTGATTCCACTTACTTTAAACAAATTGTGGGAAGCTTAAGGTATCTGACTTGCACTAGACCAGATATATGCTTTGCGGTTGGCTTGGTTAGCAGGTTTATGGAATCACCACGACAATCACATATGCAGGTTGTGAAGAGAATCATGAGATACATAAAAGGAACTCATGACTATGGGTTATTGTATTCCTCAGATAAGTCTAATAATCCATTCAAAATGGTTGGATATTCTGACAGTGATTGGGGAGGAGACTTGGATGACAGAAAGAGCACATCTGGATATTGTTTCAATTTTGGAAATACGGCATGTTCGTGGTCCTCAAAGAAACAATCAATTGTTGCACTTTCAACTTGTGAAGCAGAGTATGTTGCAGCAGCTTCAAGTGCATGTCAAGCTCTGTGGTTAAGCTATGTAATGGATCAAATTCTTTTTCCAGTTAAAGACCCAATGAAGATCTTTGTTGATAATGTGTCTGCAATAAGTCTAGCCAAAAATCCAGTCACACATGGAAGGTGCAAGCATATTGACATACGGTACCATTTCTTGAGAGATCAAGTTGGGAAGAAAACAATAGAGTTAGTGCATGGCAAGTCAGAGAATCAAATAGCAGATTTATTTACTAAACCATTGAAGTCTGAGGCATTCTTCAAGCTAAGAGACCTACTTGGGATGACAAGTCTCCAGAATTAGAATTGAGGGAGGATGTTGAATAAGTCAATTCTAATTTTATTTATCATTATCATGTTTATTTTTTGATTAGTCATAGTTAGTTGGATCCTATTTTATAGGATCTGGATCCTAAATTGTAGTGCTTCCTGGCCTATTTATACTTAACCATGTAGCAAAGAATATTAGTGTGAGAAATACAATAATCTAATTCTCTCTCTCTCTGTACGTTGCAAGCTGCACTTTCAAAGTTTTTTTTCTTTCTTTGTTCCAACAGAATTTGCATCTCTTCACTTTGGGACGAATGAAGCATTATACTTCTTTGTTTTTTCTAACAAATTAAACGAATATGTAATGTATAATTTTTCTTTTTTCTATAATCAGATTCTAACTATTCACTTTCTATTTTTCGATACTTTCTTTAAATTTTGTAAACTCTAACTCATACGATTAATTTTGAATATAAAAAAATATATTTATAGAGAATGCGGAGTAGTAACCAATATATGTGTACGAGATCAATAATACAGAGTAATAATCCATCCCCGTCCAATATCTTTAACACTATGCTTGATTAATGAATTTTTACGGAAAAGAAAAAAATGATTTAATCTCGTTTCCCTCATTATAGTTTCTTTCTTCTTAGTATATTTTGACTTTTTACTTTTTCGGCCTTCAATTTTTAATCATTTCATCTGAAATCAAACAAAAAAAGATTATTTTTCATCTAATTTTCTTTTCTTTTTCTTTTTCAAATTCCTTCAACATAGCATAAGAAAAAAAGTGCTGTTGGAGATGGATAATTTATGTCTAAGGGAAGCATTGAATCGACATTCTTTATTACTCCCTCCGTCCCCCTAAGATGTTCTCATTTTAACTTTTGGTAGGTTTTAAGGAGAGTTGAAAAAAAGTAAAAATTTATCATAATACTCTTAATGAAAATGGGTGGAGTGTATTAAATGAGGTGGGTGAGGTGTAATAAATAAAGTAAGTGGGGATAGTTGTGATATTTTAATTGTTAAAAAATGAAATGAGAAGATCTATTGTGGACAAAAGAAAAAGGCTATTGGAAAGATCTATAGGGGACGGAGGGAGTATATCTTTCTTATCCGGGACTTATTCTTTTGGAATGCAAATTTGTAATGTTGTCTTTTACGGAGTACTTTTTTTAGTTTTTAATTAAATTCACTCGATTACAGTGTTGTATAATAATAACTCTTAATAATTTTTTTTAAAATTATGTTTAAAGACCATTTTAAAAATGAAAAAATTAAAAGAATTATTTAACAACAATTTATTTTACGGGAACGAAAAACAAAAACCCGTCTATTTTACAAGGACAAAAACATATTTAACCCTTCTTCAATTGATTATTTTTTGTCTTTCATTTTTGTCTCACATTTGTTCATGCTCTAATATTTGTCAGATCTAAACGAGCCATCCGGCCCATTAATTTAAATGTAAAATTGGGATGTCCGGCACGTTTCTCGTCATGATGGACTGATCTGACGCGTTCAAGATAACTCGCACCTAAATTGAAAATTTAAGGCCCATTTAAAGCAAGCCAAACTTTCATCTGTGCCACTTAAGACATCCTTACATATTACACACTAGTATTTCACCCGTGCGTTGCACGAAAATGTATTACTTTAAAATTTTGAATTGAATATTAAAAATTTGATTTTTTATTTTAAATTCAATAATGTTTATACATGTAATGCAGAGTATATGATACGGAGTAAAATAATTTGACTCACATGGTATATTTTTCCTACAAATTGATCACTCTCCATTAAAATGTTAATTGCTTAATAATTTTAAAAATAGCATTATATTATCTGAAGAAGATTTTGTAGCATTATATTCACCCCCTACGTGAGAAAAAGATTTACATGAGTTCTACTAAGATGTTAGAAGAATATTTGCTGGAGTTTGCAGGATGAAAATAGAAACACTAATGGTTTCCAAAACCAACACCAGCGCCATGCCAGGCTTGCTTCCCCGTGAGCTCTCTGCACTAACAAACAGAAACCAACACAATTTATAAGAGTGATTTAGAAGGAGAAAAAGAAACATCGGGAAATAATAGAGAAGAAGGGATTTTTCATAAATTGCTTTCTCATGGCACAACACAAGGGATTTTTCATAATTTGATATTTGGAATTTGGAGTTGTTTTTTTCCTTTTTAAAAAATGATAAAATTGCAAGTATTAAGGAATCAAAGGCCAATCACACAAACACATAAGTACTGACCTCATCAAATTCATTTCCTAGCAGCATTTAACCAACTTTGGTAATGAAAAATTGTAAAACTAATGTGTGAACATTTGATAGAATAGAAAGAAAAAAAATAAGTACTTAGCCATTTCCGACGATACTTTTATGTTGGAAGAGAGATGACATAGTTGTGCTTTTTATAAGTTTCGTGAAGTCCAAGAGCTTGTCATCGAAGGAGGTGCTAAATTGGATGCAAGAAAACAGATATTTTGAAAAAAAATGTAGATACTCATGGAATTGAAGTAAATATGTTGCAGATTTTTTAAAATTAATAGTATTTCATATCAGATTTTCTACGAATTCAGCATCTTAAATTCCAAAATCAGACCCTAAATGTTGTTCCTAGGCAAAGATACTAATGATGATTCATATTTCAAGCATATACACTTTAAGGGATAAAAACAACATTACACACAATAAAAAAATTGTGCAGAATTGTGAAGAATAGGCAGCATAGGTTAGATTTTTTTAGCAAAATCAGTACACAATGCTTACAGATTAGACCTTACATTTCATATTTTACATATAAATTCATTGTTAAACAAATTTTAAAGAAATAGTTATAACTTTAAGGAGCATGAATCAGCATGAATATTCAACCAAAACAGGGTAGATATTAATCCAAAATTTTGAAATTGAAGCAAATTGTCTTTAAAAAATTAAGAAACTTAACTTAAGAAAAGAAAAATTTTAAAGAAGATCGACTTACAGAGTTCTCTGATGCTAGACACCAAAGATATCCTTAATCTTAAAAGCAAGTTGTTGATATCTCTAGGTTTGCAACCATCCTCTTCTTCATCCAACGATGGGTTTGTTGTCGGCGATTGGGTCAGAGGCGCGCTTCCCGGTTAAAAGATCTGCATTCTTTATTGTCATGGAGTAGGATACCGATGTACGTCGGCAGTTAAACTCCGATTGACGGTATTGTGCGATGGAGAGAATGGGATGCAGATCGCAGGGATGATGGAGTTGTGCGTTGGCGAGAAGTTTTTCGGAAGGAAGAGTGAAGAGTCGCGTAGTTTTCAGCGGTTACAAGCCTAGAAACTCTTTTGGATCTGAAATAAAATCAATGGTTAAGATCTTTCAATTTTTTTATAACCCTTGATTATTACTTGCGATCAGGATTTATTCAATTTTTTCTAAAGTGAAATTGGGCCGTTGATTTCTAATTTTGGCGGGAAAATTGGATTCTCAATTTGCATCCTTCTTTTATATACGAGTATATAATAGATAAGGATCCCACTCTCACCTCAAACTCATATTGGGCCAAGATAGAATGACACCAAAGAAGACATTAGAGATCTAATAATTTTTCCTCCTTAAATGATTGCAACAATTTCATTTTTTTATATCAAAATGTAACATTTTTGACCACGAATTAAATATAATTTAAATTAATTAAATTTTATAAAAATTTATTATTTCAAAACTATATCTTAAAATAAACTAAAAAATACCACAGTTTAACCGTCAAACTAAAGCAATCTTTTAGTAGGGTGAGAGTATCATTGTGGTGTCTTACGCCCACGTCAAGAATAATGATGTGTCAGTAAAACACAAAAATATCACTTGGAGTTACTATAGTTTTCCCCACTTGCATTAACAAAATTTGATGTGAAACCTAACCATATATTTCCAGGCCCATTGAGTTACCCACCAACCCAATAATATTTAACAAGTTATCATCAACCATGTTTTGGTCGAGAACAAATACAACTAGCAAATGAAACAATAGCAGTAGATAAAAACAGTTCCACAATCAATCGATCCTATGTTCCCTTGGGAAGAGGTTCCCCTCTCAAAAAGGAACTCAACAACTGCAAAGCTTCCATGGGCTTGAACAATGGCACTTCGTGTCCCGCCCCTCGCACCGTCGCGAACGTTAGCCCTTTGTACACCTCCGTCCATCCTGCCACCTTTCATTACACAAAACCCAAACCCATTATTTTGTGAAGCCAATTAAACTGCCTTAAAGAATATTTACCTATTGAGATTGATGGAAAATAGTCATGCTAGAATACCACAGATGACAATCATTTGTGAACCGGTACTCATATATAGAAAATAATTGTCTGTGAAAGGACAGAGTTCACAGATGATTATCTGCCAACAGTTGTCATCAGTGGTGTCAGCAGTGATGGGTGTAAGTGGATCGAGATTGAAGAAGAAATGGCTAACCTGTTTGCGGACATACCAAGGGTACCATGGAGTAGCGACGGGCAACTTGAGTTGTGCTAGCGAATAACGCGTCGCCGTTACCGGTACCACTGAATCCACATCACCGCTGCAATTCTCACACGTTAGTCACATAGTTTTCAATTTTTTAAGCACTTTTTTCCATTAAGTAACTTGCCAAAATCTCAAATTTATAGTTGTAGACTCAAAAAAGATCACTATGGCTCTAACATACGGCCAACATGTGATTGGTTTCGATCTTTCACGTGAAATCTTAATATTTTTTAACCGCATAGGATAAAATTCAAACTTGTCTCGTCTTAGCCAACAAAAAAAATCACCAAATTAAATTTAAAGATTACACTATATTTTTTAAAAAAATGTATATAGAGACATATACCTGAAAACCCAAATTCTCAAGCCAGCTGCAATAAGCTGCCGGTAAATTGGGAGGATCGAATCCTCTGTGTCATTCCAATTCCTATTCAACTTTTCACTATGACAAAAAAATAATTATGAAATGTTCATTAAATAATGATTGTTACTCATTATACTTAGATTAATAATAAGTTACATATATGGATATATATATATATATAATGAGAAACAAATATTTAGTACAAATATTTCTATATATTTGTTAAGTGCTATATAGGGAATAAAACAATTTAAATGCTATCTAAGAAAATGACTTAAGTTTTAGTGCTATTTAGTACAAATATTTCTATATATACTCCCTCCGTCCACCTAAGATCTTCCCATTACGCGTTACGAGGCTTGACCGACTTTATTTTTAATTCAATTTAATTGATTATAGGAGTAAAATTTTAAAATAAAATTTATATAGTAATAAACTACATGAAAAGTTTTATAAAACTAGAGGTGACAATACTATATTATTTTATGAAATGACTAGTAAAAATAAGTATACAAAGTGAGTGAAGTTTGACCCTGTGAATAGTGACTGAGAAAATCTATGGTGGACAAAGGGAGTATTATATATACCTGCATGCAGTCCATTTGTAAGGAATGCGAGTAATGTTGGCATGCATGGCTTTCTGGACGTCGGGACGGTTGTAGTATACCTCGGCGTACTTTTCGGTACAGGGATCGTACCCTCTGAAAGGGGCGGCGGCGGGGCGAGGCTGGTGAGGGAGTCTCATGTGGTGGCGGCCGGCGGAGCGGCCGCCGTCGGAGCGGTTGCAGGGAGGAGCGTAGATGTTGTACTGGTCGATGTTGCCGAACTCCTGGTCCATGGCGTAGTAGTAGAGAGACTCGCACTGGTTGGACTCCTTGTGCTGCCGGAAGTTGCAGGTGCTCCTCAGCTGCCGGTGTGTCCTGTCGGAGATCATGGCGTGGCTCCACCAGTACTCCACCGTCCCTAGGTTGTCGTAGTAGTTGTCTGTCACCGCATTCCCCACCTGCACTCAGTTCAGTTCAACCCCCCAAGTTCAAACTTCTAAGTGACTGGATCGGAAGTCGGTCAGGAATGGTTTAATTATTTGAAAACTTATAAATACTCCCTCCGTCCCAAAAAGAACGGGACGGTTTGATTTTTTGGGAAATTAAGGGAGGGATATTTTGGTATTGACTTTCCAAAAATAACCTTGATGTGATGGGTAAAAGTAAGATGTGATGGATAGATTATTAAGAAAAAGGTATGATGTGATAGGTAGGGTATGAAAAAGTAAGGGGTAAAAATGGTTTTTTAATAGAAATGTAACGGACTTTACGAGACGCAGTTTTTTCTAAACGTAACAAACTTTTTGGGACGGAGGGATTATGTTTATAGTCTCCATAAAAGAGAAGAATTTTGTTTTGAAAAGTGTTCATAAACGAAATTAACACTTCTAATTACTTGAGATATCATAACTATTTTATACTCCACATTTTAAAGAAACCACTTTAAATAGAAGCAAAACATATCATTTATCTTCAAAATAGAAGTTCCATTTTTTATCTCTAGAAATGTGAAATGTGAGATGATGACACTATATAATGACATCTCATTGTACTTTTACCAAGGTTCTCATGACATTGCCCGGCAATGTCATGAGATGACTCGGGGGCGCTCCGGTGTCCTGTTTGTAAAGTTGACAGTTCCTACCTCTCTAATTCCCGGTTAACCCCCATCCCGCCCCGACACGAACACACCCCAAACCCCTTCAATTGCACTCCACAAGTTGATTTTGACTTTGGAGTCAAATTTAAGAACCTTGCCGCTATTATTATTCACATTGTAAGTCTTATTTAGAGATTATGACACAATTTTGGTTATTTAACCCTTTTTTGAATAGAGTGCTTACCATAAATCCTTTGATGTTGATGGGGGTGTTGGAATTGCGGGCATTGTTGTAGTTCACAATCTCTCTGGCAAGCTGAGGAACGTAATGGCCGGCGTAGCTCTCTCCGGCGAGGTAAACTTCTCTCGTTTTGTACCGCGGGAAACGGTCCATCCATTTTATCAGAAACTGCAACGAGTCCTTTGCTATACATATATATATATATATATATATATATATATATATATATATATATATATATATATATATCATAAAATCAACCAAAAACCTCGTTAATCAGAATAAGAGTTAGGAACTCTAAATTAAACCTGATTATTAAATTTAAAAAAAACGGTACCGGTGCGGGAATCTCCGGTGTCGAGGAGGTCGGAGGAGCGGTTGGTGTAGGAGAAGCCGACGCCGGCGGGGGTTTCGAGAAAGAGCAGGTTGGCCAGCCTGTTCCACGAGAACTTGTTGAGGTAAAGCCCAGAAGCTGTTTTGTTGATCCTGAACGGCCCAATTTCTTCTGATGCTCCATACGCCACGGACGAACAACCTGGGCCTGCACCGTTTAGGTTGTTTTTTTTGAGTAAATTCTATAATTGGTCCTTTATAACAGGGGGTTTCCCTATTTAGTCCTCTATTATTAAATATTATCCAAGTGGTCCTTCTTTTATGGGTACCTTTTCACAAATAGTCCTTTTTTTATCTTCTATCATGTTAGTGTTAATTTGATGGCTAAAAGTATAATTTTACAATGATAACATATCTTTTTTGTCATACACAATTCCAAAGGCTGTTCCGTTTGCGTCGTTTGTGAATTACAGTCGCTTTTTACTATAGTCTACAAATGTGATCTTTCGTCAGAATCCTAGCCCACAATCATAGTCATTATTTTTGTGTTGTCCGCTTAACCAATATCAGAACACGTCACTAGACATAATGTTGACGTCAAATTATATTTTTAGCCTTTAAATTAACACCAACACGGCAGAAGATCATAAAAAGGACCATTTGTGGAAAGATACCCTTAAAAAAGGACTACGGGGGTAATATTTGATAATAGGGGACTAAATATGGAAACTCCCCTGTTATAAAGGACAAATTATGGAATTTACTCTTTTTTTTTTGTTTTTTTTTTGTTTTTGTTTTGTAGGGAATTGGGAAAATAACGTTCAAAATATACAGCCAAGATTCTGTGAGAGGAAAAAAAACAGGTCCCACAGAGAGAATCTCAGCTTGATCATGTGGTTGGAATGATTCAAGATCTTGACTGGAAATCTCTTCTGATTCCCTTTTTACCCACGATTCTGTTTCCTTTTAGTACATTTTTAAAATTAACTTTGTAACAATTTGATCATTAATTAACATCTCTATTTCTATATAAATATATATTTATAAAAATAATATGTTTCAAAATGAATCTGTTAATTATAAATTTATATACAATTCAATGTATTTTTTGTGTAATATGTGATCAAAATTTTAAAAATTTGAATGCAAAAGTCAATTTGGGAAGTTAATTTGATGATAGAGGGAGTACAATATTCCTTGTTCAGGGAAAAAAATGCAGAGTATCAATGATGATATATGCTTCTTTAAATCTGTTGACAAATTCAAAATTTTCTTTTTGATAGAATTATAGAGAATATGTTGAAATAGTTCTTAATTGCATGGTTATAAACAATTTTGAGTGACTGAATGATTTAAGGGTAGAAGGGGAACCAAATTTAGGAATAATAATTTCATAAATCATAATGGTAGCATTAAAGCAACAAAAGGAATGAAAAGTCAATGTTTAACCAAATTTAACTCTAGAGCATTGAACTGAAAATCTACTGTTCTTTTTTCTTTCTTTCTTTCTTCAAACAATCTTTCCATAGTCTCCATCATGCCAATCTAATTAGATTGTGACTTTTAAGATTTCAAAGTTCAAACTTTATACTCACCAAAATTTGAAGTCTAGAAAAGAAAACTTTACTTCATGTCTTTCTCTTCTTACTTCATATCAGTATTTTCTTATTAAAAAAAGATGAGCCCAAAATTAAATATAGTCAAAACAATAGACTGTAGAATTAAAATTAACAATGCTCCAAATTATTAAAGACCTTAGTCGGTATATTTTTTTAAGAAACCTTAGTCGTTATTTAACGACATAAAGAACTAATATTGTCAATGCTGACAATTAATATAGACTTCCGATTCAATTCTTATAGATGAGGGAACTCAAAAGTCATCAATTTTACGAATAAAATACCGTAAATATCCTAAAAAGTCAGCAGTACCCTTAACCAGTGGCAACAAAACCGACCAATTCTTGAAATGTACTCAAATTTTAAGTTGGGAAAACGAGCATGCCTTTGATGGTGGAATTGGCAATATGGCCATTGAATGCAGGAAGGAGATGTAATTGGTTCTAGCCATATTATGGCACCAACCATATTTTGGTCTAAGGCATTAATTAATCAATTTACTATGCCCAAAAAAACACAAAAACAATACTGCTGGGAAAAAGTGCAACCTTTTGGACCTTGTTCTATCTTTCTTTCTTTTCATCATAATAATGATGTGTTCTTCCATCTTTTTTTTTCAAAAAAATCATTGGCAGAGTTGAAAACATTGATGGATATGGCCATGGGTACGTGGTTAGTTAGGTTAGGTGAAGACTCGTAGGCTTGGGAAATCCCAGCCTCAACTCCGGCTAGCTCTACCCACCCACTACCTCTTCTATATACCCCGGAGTACATCACTAGCCTGCGTTCTGTTCGCTTGATCTGAACTGATTTTTTGAAGATTTGATCTGATCTGAGATGATGTGATTGCACTTATAATTAAAAATTGTTTTTTGATCTGATCTGATTATAATAAGGAAGATGAAAATGTATAACTCGGGACGTAACTCAAACGGTCAATAAAGATACAAAAAAAACATTGTAATCGGGTTCGACTCTTCTTGGTTAAGGAATAAGGATGCATGGTAATGTGAGACGTTTATGTTTTGCATAATGCCTTTGACTAGACCTGAAATATCTATGGGGAAGGTGTGGGAGATTTAAGAGGTATGAATTGTCAATTTTAGAAATGGAAATTCGAAACCCCATTGGTACCCCTTGCCACTCTAGAACGCCGCCGTTCTTATCATACCCTTGCGCGTTAATACCCATATCCTTCCATCAATTTTATTGTATGTGTAAAATTTAAAAATAAATTATATTGTAGCACACACACCCTTCGTCCCAAAATATTTTACACTTCACGCAAAACAAACTGAATTTGCAAGTTTTGTAAAATTCATTTTATTTTAACATTTGCACATGAATTAAAAAATAAAACTTATATATTTAAAAATCACATCAAAAGTTTTACGAAACAAGAACTCACAAGAATATTTTATTTTATTAGTTACTCCCTCCGTCCTAAAATTAACTTCCCATTTGACTTTTCACGGTCTCTAATGCGACACTTTGACCATCAATATCTCAATTTTTATACAAATATATTTTATAAAAATTATATATTTCAAAACTCTATTCCAAAATGAATCTATTCCTAATAAATTTATATGAAAATTCAATGTATTTTTTCCTTAATCTACGGTCAAAGTTTAAAAAATTTGACTGTAAAAGTCAAACTGGGAAATTAATTTTAGGACGGAGGGAGTAATAAATTAACACACACACAAATAGAAAAGTTTATATGACTTTTAAATAATACAAATTTAATTCTTTTTAGGAGGATTGAGTAATAAAAAACTACTGAGTATTTATTTGCCCAAAGTCCGGGAGTATATAAAATTATTACTCGGTATTTGTACAAGGGGCAGTAGATGAAGTACATTTATGGGTTGGGAAGAAGAAGACTAGACTCCATTTTTTGTGTCAGGGTGAAAAGACGTGACCATAAAAATATCGCATTTTTTTAGTCTTACAAAATGTCCCATTTTTCAAGACAATAAAATATGGTTCCATTATTATTTTTCACTCCTACACATTTATTTAAGGTGTATCAAATTTGTAGCAAATAATAGACAAAATTCATTCTTATAGTTCAAATTTTAAAATGTTTTGTAAAGAAAGACTGGAATTTGAACTTACAATATTTTGACTTTGACCCTTTCTTCGACTTTTAAATTTCAATTTCAATTATTATAATTTCAGCTTTTAACTTTCAATTATTGCAAGGAAAGGTAGATTAGATAATGGACAGCAATGGAACAGTGAAATGAATAACACTGGAAAATAACTAAACGGTAATTAACGGACCTCCGTTAAGCCAGACGAGGAGGGGGCGGGAGAGGGGGCGAGACTGGGCCTCGGCGAGCCAGTAAAAGAGGGCGCGGCCGGCGGTTTCCTCGACGGTGACGTAGCCGGAGTACTGGGGGAAGGAGACATCCGGCTGGCCAGGAAGTGAATCGATCCGGTCGCCGGCGGCGGCGCGGGTTTCTTCTAGAGTGGTGGCGGCTGCAGCGGTGGCCGTAAGCTGCAGGGATAATGATAGTAACAGTATGTAATAGAGGAGGGAAGAAGAAAACAGAGGGGGAGTGGATGGTTGGGCGGCCATGGATTTCATGCCGGCGGCGTTTTAATTCCTAGAGTTCTGTGAGAAATTAATATTGTTTGAGATTTATATAGATAGAGACGAGACTCGATAGAGAGGAGAGAAGTGTGTGGGTAGTGTGGAGCGCAGATCGAGGTGATTTAAATGACTCGCCCATCAATGGCTTATTTCATGGTCAACTAGCACTAAAGACCATTCGATTAAACTATTTGTACACCGAAATTTGTACTATACTCCCTCCGTCCCGCTATATTTGTCTACTTTTGATTCCAAATGTATGTACCGAATTTTGTCCTACTGTTATAGTTCACTGTGATAAAAAATGTCGGCCTGAATTTTTTTATTTGAATTTACATTTTGTAGTGGGAAGCGTTAAAATGTCGGTTCATTTTTTAGGCTACAACTTGGGGTAAACTTTTTAGTATACCCCTATCATGGTTGAACACCTTTTTATTTATCTAAACGCCGTTGGGCGTTGTGCTGCTGGCAATGGCGAAGAGTATCAAGGTAGTAGACCCGTGTTCAATTATTTACAACTGTGGTGGAGGGCATTTATGCTAATCATTGGAATTCTGTAAGTACCAATTGCAGACTTCACACACTGCCACTAATATGTAATTTAAGTCTAATTTACCTATTCTCAATGACTGTCCGATCGGGTTTGAGAGAGAACGTAACTCGAGAATGAGACTTATCTTTTTCTTTTCATTTATCTGGGAAAAAAATTGTTTTGCACCCTACCTTAGTACCTTGGCCAAATACCATAGTGTGTGGGATAATTACTCTAAAGAAATTATACTAAATAGGACTAAAACATAAAAAAGTTCCAAAATAGAAGTTTCATATTTTTATTCCCTAAATAGGTGTTCGCATTGTGGTAATATGACATTGGACACGTGCATTTTATGTAATATACATAATCATTATTGGTAATATAAATGCATTTTAACTCTTATTTCAAGAATAAAATTATGAAAGTACTATTTTGATATATTTTCAATATTTTACTCTTACTTTAGTCTCTTTTTTTCATTACACTATAATTTTATTCCTTGTTTGGATGTATAGATAAAAGATAAGAATGAAAATACTGAGTATATTTTTTAATGTATTTTCTCATGTTTATATAAGAATGAAAAATGAGGAGAAAAAAGTAGTGTGACTCTCTTCAAGCCCAAATCTCTCTTCAAGTGTATACAACCAGGTAAGCATTCAACTAATTTTTTGACATTTTGGCTGAAAATAGGCTGATAATCGATTATGACAAGTTGATAATCGATTATTAGACTTCTTTGAAGTTTTTTCAAAAGCCAACAGAAAAAACTAAGCCCGAAAACAGATGTCAAAACCCAAATTTCCTAAATCAAAAACTAATTATTGGAAACACTTGTTTACGCTATTTGAAGTGATAACCAAGTATAAAAACTTAACAACCATGTTGTTAAGGTGAAAGCCACAGATCACCAAGTTAAAATGGTTTTCATGATTTTTGACCAAAGACCAAAAATCGAAGGTGGTTTTTAGAAAATTTTTGTGTGCAAACCTTTTATATATGCCTAAAGTAAAAATTAAGTATAAAAGGTTGAAAATCACTTGGTTGATTCGAACGCCAAAAACCGATGCTGAAAACTGAACGCCGAACGTTGTAGTTTTGGTTTGGGCGAAGACCATATATTTTGTAAACTTAAACAAAAAATGAAAAACCTCTGTTTGCTGCATAAAAATTGGTTTCATGATTATAGCTATTGAGAACCAAGACGCAAGATGATGGTTAGTTTTAAACCGGCTCAACCAAAATCTAAGTCTTTATTGGTCTTGATTCTTTCATCTTGTCCCATGCCTTGATTTATTCAACGGAACTCTTCATTTTCACGGCGGCTTGACAATTATCAAAATCTATCAAGGACAAACACGACTTTAGCTCAGCGCAGTGTAAAGTGTGTTCCAACATTTCTCAACTATCCTTAACCGTCTACAGAAAGATATATACGGTTATCCTCGATCGTTGCAATTGGTGAAAAGTGTGTTTAAAAACACAGAAAAATGTTCAACACCTTTTGGCCTATGATAAAGAAAAAGATGAATTCTTGGTCGGTGAAGAACGAAGACTATACTCTCTAAAACAATACAAGATCAACATATGAATGTGAGAGTGTATATGTATAATCACCAGCTCGGTATGTGTTTAAAGACATGAAGAACAAAGCTATTAAAAGAGCCAAAACAATAAAAGATAAAGAACAAGACTATGAACACACTTGAAATATGAAGTATATAGCATCTTATTTGTAATCCACAAAAAAAAAAACAGCATCTCTAAAAGGTCAAAATAAAAGCCCCTCTTAAGAGCAACTCTTATATACTCATTTCGTTAGAAAAAATTCTCTATTCGAACAACGCGCAAAATCCAATGGCTTTTAAAATGATTTATTTACAACTTGGTATAGAAATAAAGCTAAACCTTAGATATTTAAAAACTACATCACAGGTTCAACAAAACAAAGTATTTCAAGAATATTTTATTTTATCAAATGAACAATGAAAACATGCAAATAAATACTCCATCCTTCCCTGAGTATTTGTTCAGTTTTGATTTTTTTCGTTCAAAATTGGTAAACATTGACTTCAAATTAAATAAAAATGATATTAGATATTGATACAAAAAAATTTTTATTAGATTTATTACATCAAATATTTTCAAAATATTATTTTATTTAATTAAAATACAATATATATTTTATTCATTTATAAGTCAAAGGTTAAAAATAGTTTACTAAAAAAAGTCAAAACTAAACAAATACTCAAGAACGGAGATAGTAAAAGTTATCGTAAAGCTATAATAGTAAAGAGTTAAATTACTTTGAATCGAAGTAACTCCTAACAAATATTGGAGTAACATTTTTTTCTTCAAAGTTTGTCTTTTCCACACCAAGGACAGGTCTCGATTGTCATATCATTAAAAATGGGTAAACCAAAGATAAAACTTGGATGAAAAAACCAAGGTTCCAATCACATGGGTAATAGCTCTCTACCTCAGCAGTGTGAAGATGGAATTCATGATGACAAAAGGACTATATATATATCGTGTTTTGTTTGTTGCGCATACACTATTTTTGACACGCATTACTCAACATACAAGTGTGTGCCCAAACCTTAGTTGTACAATTATTTGACCTATCCATATTAATGGTATATATGTTTTGGATTCATACTTAATTAAACTAAACACATGTCACACGGGAAAGTTAAACATGCCTTTCAATTTTCTGTGATTAGTATATATAGTGACCTTTTTTTTTATTAACAAAGGAAATTTAATGTCGGAATTGGATATTGTTATTCTTAGCTTTCTTTTTGTTATCAATAGACAATAGTTGTGATTTATTTTCCGTTAGCACGTGAATTATTTCATGATTTAATTGACCACATCTTCATGCCATCTTTCATTTTTTTGTTGACAAATCTATATAAAGCCTTTTGTTCACTTATCTTTTCAGGTTTTTGTAATGAAGAACGACCATGAACAACCTAAATGCATTGCAAAAAAAGATGTCTTACCTAGTTATACTAATAAATACTTTAAATTTTAGATTCACTTCAAAAAAATTTTTTACCTAGTTAACTAAAAAATGTTTTACCTAGTTATACTAATAAATGCATTAGATTCACTTTAATTTTTATTTAAAATTGAAATTTAATTTCAGTTCAATTTAGTTTAATTATATTTAGTTCATTTGAATGCAAAAGAATAGAATCTTAAGGAAAAGGTTACGGAGTATGTCACAATAACATTTTGGAAAATACAACTTGTGCTTTTTTTTTCCTATTACTCTATCATCTCACTACTTAATACGGAGTATTATTCTTAAACTGTATAATTTGGCAATTCAAGCAAATTATTCAATCCCGTTGAATACACCATTTGTTAAAATTTTAAAATTACAATTTACTAATCAAATGGTCAAAATTTAGTCATGCTTGAATTTTTACTCATTTTTGCTACCCATTTAAAAAATATATATAGCCTTGTCACCTCTTATTTTTGTAGAATTTTTTATGTAGTCTTTAGTTTCTAAATGAGAAAAGTGCACCGTTTATCCCGAACTCTTTGTAAATTACATGGCTTATCCTTAATTATTAAAAAGTGCACCGTGTACTCTCGAGTTATTCAAAAATTGCATGATTTACCTCTGAACATTAAAAAGTATATCAAATACATACCTCTGAACAATTTAAAGTATTGCACCGTTGGTCCTAAAATGCTAGATAGAAAGTGTGTTGCTCCCGCGCACGAAATTGCGAGCATGATTCATCTGGTTCTTGTGACTTCTCCAAAGTACTCTTCCCCAAAATTATCGTCTTTATTTAAATGTTCAAGGGTAAACTGTGCAATTTACGAAGAGTTTAGGAAATTTGGTGCACTTTTTAATGTTTAGGAGTAAACCGTGCAATGTCTGAAGAAATGGGGGGTAAACGGTGCACTTTTCTTGTTTCTAGATATATAAATTTTATTTCTTTTAATACCGCACACATTTCGAAATGAATTATATATATAGCTTCAGTCAACCTCGTAAATAACAACATATATACGATTTAAATTGGGACATGAGAAATCTCTATTAATTTTACTACTTTGACTTTTTGTGGTCTTCATATTCCAATACAACACGTTGACCATTTCTATAAAAGTATGTTATTAGCAACTTTTTTATTTTATCTAAATTATGTTTCTAAATTAGTACTCTCTCTGTCCCCAATAAGATGTCATTGTTTCAATTCTAGACTTTCACTAATTATTATTTGCTTGTTTGTTTTATTTATAATTTGATAAAATAAAATAGTCATATTTATATTTGTTTACAATTTTTTTGATTAATTTTAAATTTTTAAATTTTACTTTTTATTTCTAGACTAATTTATAAATAATACGGAGTATCATTTTTAAAATAGTGACACATTTTTAGAAAAAATGATGAATAATTTGAGGATGATGGAGTATTAATTACTCCGAAACAATCATGCCTTTATTGAAAACTGAAAAGGAGGATCATGTAAACGATGCTCGCTCCTTCGTTTGAAACCTAACTTTTTGGCTTATAGGAGGCACACATTAATCCAATGCTACTCCGTACTTGATTAAAATAATTTTTAATTTAATTCATTTACGGAGTATTTATTAGTGCAATTTTAAAAATAAAATTTGTAGATATTTATAAATTATAAAAAATTACCAAAAAAGTGCATTTATACAGTTTTGTTTTGGTTATTGATTAATAAAAAATTGTAAGAAATAAAGAAAAAAATAAATTTGATCATGTAAATAGCATCTACGGAGTACAAGATACACTTTTCGTGCCACAACCATGGTTTTAGTTGGTTTTTGTAAAAATTTGGTGGGTGGAGAACAACGAATGGAGTACGTGTTGGGTAAAATTAATCACTTGCATATAAAGTTGTGATTTACTTTCTAACCCAGAAGCTTAAACAGGTAGATAGCACTTCAACCTTCAATATATGCTAATAGTATTAGAGTGTGTTTTTGAGTGCAGTGAGTCTTGAAAAAACACATGTGCTAAATTCAGAAGTAGAAAACAGTTAATCCGAACTTTGGTGAAAATCACATCTGGAGCACGATTTATACTTGTGAAATCACAATCCATTATCTAAAGCTAATTGGAAAACACTTAAAATTGTGTTTCAATGAAGTAAAAGTTTAAAAGCTATTTTGAAACACACTCTTACTTTATTTTCCAATGAGAGAACTCCAACACTCCCCCTCAGATGCTAACTAACCTGGCCTAGTTAGCACTTGAACAAGCGAGTCTAGCCTCTCAATCTCTTGTAGAGAGCTCACACAACGAGCGGTGGCATCTCAATCTCTTTTAGCCAACTCAAACCAAGCCACGAACAGATAGCTTATTTTGCTAAACCCACATCCAACAATCAGGAAGAATCGAAGCCGGACCAAACCTGCTCTGATACTATTTAAAATTGTGATAGGCCGAGAACATCAAATGAAATGTCGAGTAAAATTAATCACTTGCATATAAAATCGGGATCCACTTTCTAACCAAAAAGTTAAGCATATAAGTAGGACTTCACCCTTCAATATATACTAGTGGTATAATTCTTAATTTTTTGATGTGGGAACTCCGTTAAGTTTTTAATCAAATTCTGTCGCTTTTTGACCATATATTGTAAAAAAGAATGTATTTCGTTATATTGTAAATTTAATGTAGATATAATAATTAGATTCAGTTTAAAATATAATAATGATATATTAATTTTTTTTAATAATTTAAGTTTAAAACTCAAAATAAAATACAGTAAAAATGTCAAAAATTAATACAAAATTACTCTACAACAATAATTTTGAGACCGAAAATTATTTTAAGACGAAAAAATAAAAGTAAAGACTGGAGTGTAGACAACACAAAAATGCAAAAATATTCTAAAGGAACAATATTATTTGTCAATTTGTCACTCAATTTGTAACTTTGAAAACTTGTAACGATACCAGGTTTGATTCGGATAAAAAGGCTGGCCGGAGCATACTGCATGCGTGCGTGCGTGCCCATAATTGCATGGCCGAAAATCTTACTCTTCCATTCCCTAACATTTATCTCAATCTCTAACTTTAACATTTATCTCATTTCTCATGGAGTAATAAAAAATATGAACCCCATCTTGATGATTCTCTCACTTTTGGTTGGACAGTCACTTAGAAGGAATTAATTGACTTAGATTGTACATTGGGTACAAAATTTGAAGTTTGCACCTGATACTTGTTGAGGCATTTGTACTTAGCATAGCGCAGTTAATTAGTTGTCAGGAATCGAACTCAGGTCTTAGAGCATTAACAATAGCAAATAAAGAAATAGAATGTCACACGATCAAGCGGAAAATTTCAATCAATCAAAGCAAATCCAATTAGCGTGTGGCAAAATAGTAGAGTGTCATGCCCTGCAGTGGCAAGTAATTATTTTTATTCTTTTAGACTTTTTTTTTACATATTTTAATCATTAAAAATTATTTTAATTACTTTTTTTCAAAAACAATTGACGCACTACTTTTTTAAAAAATAAGCTTTTTTGTGCAAAACAAAAAGAATTTGACATATAAAAGGAGTAAAAGGACTATTAAGTATTAACTTTATTTTGTTCAACTGGTTTATAAGTTTCTATTTTATTCAAAAACTACCACTACTTTTAACATTTTAAGTTGATTTTGTGCATATTTTGACCATCAATTATAATATTATCTTCTTCTTTTTTGGTTCTTTTAATTTTGACGTGCACAATCTTCTTTGATCATTAATATCGTTATTTGTACATAGTTATATTTTATAATAGTATGATATTAAATTTGTGCTCTTTTAAAGAATAGTGGTCTAGTGGTATAGAGTATAGACCTAAGAGCATTAACAATGGCAAGACACAAATGAAATGCCTTACGGTGACATGAACTATTTCAACCAATAAAAAATAACTCAGTCACCGTGTGGCAAATGAGTGGAGTGTCGTAACATACAGTGGCAAGTCATTTTTTTGTACTTTTTAATTATTTTTGATTATCAAAAACTATTTTACACATTTATTTTATTATTAAAATATGTCTACTTTTTTTAAAAAATATTTTTTCAAAAATTAAAAATATTAAAAATATTTTAAAAAATAAAAAAATGGGCGAGTCATGCCTTGCACATGGAATGAAAAGTGAGATGGAATGGCCATGGAATGCCATGATTTGAGTGGCATTTACTGACATGGCTAGGCAAGGCAAGGCATTGCCTTGCCATTGTGAATGCTCTAAAAGACGTATATAGTTCCCGATTGAAAAATAATGTCTATGACAAAATAATTGGGCGTAAAAATACACGAAAAGAAAGGTAGGCCCATCAAGAAACGGGCCGATTGAAAAATGGGTCAAATAATGTCCAAAGTAAAAAAACTGGGAAGAGGATGAAAATTTATTGGGTGCAACTGTAAGATTAGACAGAATCAGGGCCGGGCCGAAGTATTAGCAAATAACGTTCACATGGGCCCATCTAATGGCGGGCCCGAAATGAAAAAACAAGAGAGTATGGAATTTTCCATTTATTAATAAAAACCCGAAGGCCCACGAAACCGACCGTTGAAGCTGCAACGGTCGTTGTCTTCAAAGGTTCTTCCCGTTTCCTTCTTCACTCTGCTATTAATCACAAGTGATTTCTTTTCAAACCCATCTGTGTAGTTTGTTCACTCTGTACAAATGGAGGAAGAAAAGCAAGAATCGCCGCCGGCGCCGGTTCAGAAAGAGGACGCCGGCGTTCCGACCAAGCCCAGTCTAACCGGAAGAACTACCATTCCCGACCGGCTTAAGCTTCCCAAGGCATTCAAATACCCTGAAAGGTACCGACCGAAATCTTAATTTTGTTCGTTTCCGTACGATGATGGATTCCATCGATTTGATTCTGATTTTTGGAACTTTTGTGGTGATATATAGGTACACAAGCCCGACTGATCAGATGATGTCCCCTGCTTCAAAGCGACTCCTTTGTAACGCCGGCAGAACCAGAAAGGCCGCCGCCATTTCCGCCGCCGATGCCGGGCCGTCGTTACCCCCAAAGCCTATAAAGATGCAAGCTCTAGCACCCCTTCAGCCTGACCGTCTCGATAGTTGATCTTTTTTATTAAAATAAAATCCTTTGTGGCATTACTGTAATTTTCCGAACTGAATTTTTTTCTGTTTTTATGTACTAAATAAAGAGTTTTATTTTGGAAATTTATGGCTATTGTTTAAGATAAAGTTGTATGATATTTGAGGCAAAGAAATGGGGACGACCCGAAAAGGTCTCTGAGCCATTCTTGAATTGAGGAAAATTTTAAAACCCTAAATCACCCTTCTTCGTTTCTAAAATTAATTTATTTTTTGTTTTAGTGGTTTTCTTCTTCTTTGGAATTAACCTCCTGGGAAAAATTCCCCTAATCAAGGATCATACAATTCATATTTTCCTTCGTATCTCTTTGGTTGGCATTCTTTCCTTGAAGAAAGATTGATAAAGTTCACTTTGAATTTACAGGTATGACCATCTGATCCATTTTTCTTGAATATAAACATATGTAATTTATAAAAAAACATTGGATTTTCTTGAAAATCTTTGGTACATTGTAAAAAACCCACCATGGTTGATGCTTCCATGTTTAAGAGTTTTTCCTGGCTTATAAAATTTAATAGCTTGAAGTTTTTATCCGTTGATTTCAGATTAGATTCATTTGGTATGTCTTGTTTCGATTTTGTTTTTATTTTCAGAAACACTCTGTAGATTCAGCAGCTTCAACCAAACAGGCCCTTAGTTCCTGGAGAGAACTTGAGGTCCTAACAGGGTATTGTTGGAGGAAGTAAAAGCTTTATTGATATGTTTAAGAAATGAATGACAACTAGCAAAGATTCTGTTTAAGGTAGGACAAAACAAAATCTTTTTTACCCTTATTCCCAAAATGAAATCTTTTCCATAGATTAAGATTACAATGTCCCATTGATTCTTTATTCACAGGGTCAAAATGGGTTCTTTAGAACAACATTCTAAGGCTATGCAAGGTGGTGAAGAGGAGAAGAAACAAGCTGAACCTAAGCATAATGATGTTGTTGATCCAAATCTCGATCCCGCCACGTCGTCATCTCCTATGTTGTCCCCATCATCACCTAATGACTCCGGCGCTCACACGCCACAGTGGAGCATGATGAGCTCATCCCCGCATCACGGGATGAGCAGTCAGTTGTCGCTCCCAGGCGAACAGCTTGATTTGAACGGGTCGGATACGGGCTACGACCCGAACCGCATCCCGTCGTCGGTTTTCTCCAGCATCAATGCGTGAGGATTGGAGTGTCGCGTCCAACGAGTCGTTGTTTAGCGTTCACATGGGTAACAACGGGAGCTTCTGTAGGGACGAGAGGAAGAGCTTCTCCTCGTCCCTTCCCACCCTCGTTGAAGTATCGGCGGATCGTGAAGGGAAGGGCGAGAAGATTTCTGTGGGGTCCGCCCAGACACAAGAAGAAGAAGAAGAAGAAGAAGAAGAAGAAGTGGAAGAAAAGGAAGAGGAAGATGAAATCGTTGAGACCCCGAAATCAATCCCAGCTAAGAAACCTTCAGAATTCGACGTGGAAAAGGGGAACGCAAGCCCTGGAGTGCATACTTCTCCCATTGTTGGAGCCCCTCAAATTGAGCGGATTCAAGAATCTGCTCGTGTTTCCACGGGGAGCACGAGCAGTACTAAGTCCTTCGCATTCCCCGTGTAAGGCGTCTTTCTTTTGTCAGTTGTATGCCTTTGATATCATGACAAAGAAACTAACTCGAACAAAAACTGAAACTTATGATTGTAGATCTCTGCAACAAATGACTCATATCTTTGCCGTTGTCGTTTGGTTGTTACAGGTTAGTAAAAGATTGTAGTAGAAGAGAAGGGCCGTTGAAAGGGGACAAAGGCGTGAAAGCGGAGTCTCAACCAACCTTGAAACCGCAATCGGAATCAGAGCCTCAAATGCAACAGCAGCCGGAGGCAGGGGCAAATCCGGAAACCTCAAAAGAAACGCCACCGGAAGCAACGCAGTCCGGTTGTTTCACTTGTTTCTCTTGTTGGCCACGCTGCTGTTGACGTGCATATTTTAACTTCATTTCTTTAAAAAATTTATGTACAATATATACACAGACACAGAGAAGATGAACCTTATTTGTGTTTGCTTGTGAATTGTGTTGTTCATTGTACTCTTGGTTGGTTTGGCCTTCTGGAAGAATGGAAAATTGTGCTCAGAACAACAAAATTATTTCTGATCAAATGACAAAATGTACCACAAGATGTAAAATTTCTGGCATTGATAAAACACCACATCTCTTGAATTTAAGCAAAAGATGAAACGAGAACAAATGATGCTTGAATCTGTAGATCTAATGAGTTTTTTTTTCATAAATTCAAGTAAAAATGATATTTTTCCTATTAAGTACCTTCATTTGTCCATGTGAAGCCAGAGAAGTGGAAGGGCATTTTGGGGTTACTTTTCCAACTAAAATACTTCTCTTTAGTTTATGTGCAAAAAACAAAGAGGACCAACACATCAGAAGAACAGGAGTGTAGTTTAAACGTCATTGTTGAAGTTAAACAAATTTGTACTCCCTCCGTCCCATTTTATAACGCATGTTTCGGTTTACGATGTTTGACTGAAGTTATTTTCAAATTATTTTACATGACAAATGGTATAGAATTAAAAAATAAAAATTACATATCAAAATACTACATCAAAAGATCTACAAAACTAGTAGTGACAACAATATTTTATTTTATCAATTTGCTAACAAAAATAGAGAAAGAAAGTGAATGAAGTTTGACCCTGTAAATAGTGAACAGACATTATAATTTGGGACTAATTTGGGACGGAGGAAGTATAAGATTGTTTGAAAGCCTACAAGATTTCCTTAAAGTAGAAAAAGAGTCATTCTTTTTTCCAATTACATGCCAAACATCTGAATTTTGTACAATTGGTAATGCATAAAGAAACTAACTCCGGAAAACAGTCAATCAAAATCAAAATCTACTGAGATAACTGAGAGCCATTGCCAGCTCCGTCGTTCACATACAAGAAAAAAAAAACACAGAATCCAAACATTAGTCTTAAACCCTAATTCCTTGATAAGAATCATACTCCGATTTCGGAGGCTGGAAATCAGTACAAAAGCCGTTGCTCCTCGGCGTCAGGAGTCAGAAGAAACAAGAAGGGGTGACGATGATGTGTTTCAGAGGGTGCGCCACGTCACCGCCTCCGGCGTGCTTCACAAACTCCGCCGGCGTGAGAAAGCTGCCGTGGCAAACGCACACTATCCTCACTTCCTCCCCCTTCTTGTATCTGTACAGGAACCCTTCGATCTTCCTCCCGTTGGGGCCCTCGCCTTTTGTGGAAACGCAGGGCATGTTCATCATTAGGTTTCTGAGGACTCCATTGTTGTCCTTCGGGGAAGAATCTTGTTGAAGACTAGAATCCTTCTTGACTGCAGGTTCTGGAACTGTGACTGGTGGAATGGGCTCCTCCTCCGACTGCACACTCGGACTTCTTTCTTCCAAGTTTTTGCCAGAAACTGAGATTTTAATTTCAATGAATCAAGATCACATTTTTATCACAAAAGGTCCAATTTTGATGTGGGATTTTAAAGCACAATTATCTTTTATTATAGATCTGAAGAAACCCATCATTCAATTGTGGTGTGTGAACCGGAAGATTTAAAAGATCAACAGAAGAAATTGAAATTGGTTGAATTAGGGTTCATACCTGGTAAAGGTTGGCTTTCAAAATCAGAGATTCCAGAAGAACCACTCCCTTGAGAGAGTGAGGAACCGGGCGAATGTGAAGGCAATAATGGATTCCCATCTTCTTCTTCCTTGTCCAACTTCCCCCTGACATTCCTCGTGCTCTTAATTTTCTCCATCCGCTTCCTCTTCGCTTCCAGACGCTTATGCATCTGAGCGTCCTTCTTCTTCTTCCTCCACTCCTCCGTCTCCGCCTCCGCCGGGGAGGAGCACGCTCTGGTTAACGGCGCGTGGGCAGAGATTGCACGCGCCACCCTGTCTTCCGGCAAATTAGACACAGAACAAGAGCGTTTCATGTTCTGGGCTTTGTTCGGGTCGAACCCGAATTTCCCGTTCAGTGAAAGCCCCAGGCTGAGCTCAATCCCATCCTCGCCGCCGTTTCCCCCTTCCGATTTCCGCACTCCACGGCCTGATGCCGGCGGCGAACAGCTCCCGTCGACGCATAATTGCAAAAACGGATCCCCCGAGACGCCATCTAGCAACGGAAGGCTTCCCATTTAGTCTGCCGGAATATCAAGAATTTCTAAGATTTCAAAACGAAAACCACCGGAAAAAACAAGAATCGCCGGACCCGAAGGGAGAGATTTGTAGTGTGGAGGGGGGAGAGGATTTTCTTTTTATAAATTTATTTATTGGGGTGTGGTGGTGGGGGGAATAGAGAAAAAGACCAAAAGGACCTCGATTGCGAAACGTAAGTTGGCGTGTGGCGGACACGTGGTGGGACTGAACAGCGCGGGAAGGACCACGTGGGCTAGACAACCTGGTTTCACGGACGACGTCAAACGGGTTTCCGATCTCGGTCCCAGCGGTAAAACGTTGGAATCGCCGGCGAGACAGACACGTCTCGGTTCTTGTTTCTCAAGAGAGCCCTGCCACGTGTCGCGATGCTACGGCCTCGTAATGACACGACGTGCCATCTCTTAATCTCTCTCTCTCTAAATCTACTCTTTTCTCTCTCTAGCTTTTTTTTCTCTCTATTTCTCGTAGCTGTCATGCAATATAGGGGAGAGAGAGAGAGAAATGACGTGGGAGATGGGAGAGATAGACACGTGGCGAAGAAGGTAGGGTGGGGTAGGCTTCTTTGTACTGTGGACGATTACGTCTCCTCACCATTCGTACGGCCATGACACCACAAATCTTTTACGGATACCCTTCCCTTTTTTTTTCTCACTCACAATTTTTTCTCCATTTTTTTCAAAGAATTCTTTTTTAAAAATAATAGCTCAATATATTCTATTCTTTAAAATAAATTTTAAATTTTATTTATTCTATTTTTATTATTTAATCCTTATAAATAAATTGAGCATGCAAATCAATTTGCCACAAAAGTAATACCCTTGTCCTCAAATAGAAAATTAGAGATTGAGTTAGATAATGTTTTCTTTAATTTATTATTTTTTACTTATTACTTATTTTTATTAAAATTAAATAAAAAACAACATTTAATATAACCTTATCAAATCAAACCAAAATCATTCAGATCAGGTCAAGAAAACATGACCTTACAAGAAAAATTATAGGAAGTACCTTTTTGGTAATTCATCCCTACCACTTGTCAACTATGGCTCTTTGTTTCTTTTTTTCTTAGTGTTAAATAAACTCGGATTAATCATATCTCTTAGTTGGTGGTGATCGATTCTCATATCTGATTGTGTTTTCTTGTGGTGTTGTTTCTCTCTCCCCTTTTGTGGGTGTTCTATATGGGAATATATCCTTATATGGATGCTTATTGTATGAAATGTTTGATATATACTACCTACGTCCCACTGTTTTTGTCCACATTTAACTTTTGGAACTGTTCATTTAAGCACTTTGACTCATCAAATTCTCTCAATGTGTAAGCCTAAAAATAGTCATGTATGATCTTGTTTGATTTTTCTTAACATATAGATTATTAATATATAATTTCTATAATTTTTTCATATACAAATTACAAGATAAAATGGATTAAAGAAGTGCATTGGATGGTGTGTCAAAAGGTAAGTGGACAAATACAGTGGGACGGAGGGAGTATGTTCCAAGTGTTTTAATTCAACAAAGTTTATGTATTACGCTTTCTATGTTATTGCATTTCAGAAGTCTTTGATTGATTTTAATTGTTGTTCCACTTTGAGATAAATGTTTTTATTTATTATTAAAAAAAGATAAAATGGACTTGTTCAAATAAATTTTATTCGATTTGGAAATTGATATAAAACTATAGATGACATCGAAAAATTTCTATTCAAAATACTTTGAGCGCGACTGTTTATTCTATAAATAATCAATAAAATAAAAAAAATCATTAATGAAGAAATGTAATTCGGCTGTGAAAGAAGATTTGGGAAATTTATTTTGTGTGGAGTTCTAATTTAATTCCAACTCCAATGCAGCAGTGCTCCATGTTCTAGAAGTTGGGTCAATTTGGGTATATATCTCTCTATAAACTCTCTAATATATGATATATTAAAGAATTCGAATTTAGATTTGAATTAAATTATCCTAGTTCATAATAAAGCTAAATTTTAAATTTATAAGTCTCGTATTGCCATTTGAAATTTTATAATTCCAATTTGATCGAATTCAAATGCATGAATTGAAATAAAGTGTTAGTTACCAATGACTACCTTAGGTTTCAGAAAAGAAATTCTCAATAATTTTGAAATATTATAAATTTAAAATAATAACTAAATAATTTTGAATTGAGACACTTACAAATTCAAATTCAAATTCTAAAATAATATTCCTTCCGTACCAAAAGTGGTTCTCAATTTGATTAACATGAAATTTAAATAAAGTAAAAATGTATGATCGAAAGTGACAAACATGTGAAAGAAGTGTTTTAAGTCACTAAATGTTGAAATTACGTTCTCTCACAAAAAAGAGAGTATTCTTTAAATGAAAGAATTTAAAAGGGATGAGAGTATTCTTTAAATTAAAAGCTGGCCACCTAATCTAAACACGTTCATTTAAAATATTGAAATTACGTTCTCTCTCACAAAATACTGAAATTACGTTCTCTCTCCAAAATATTTGTGACATTAACCAAAACAAAAAAGATTAAATTTTTTGAATTAATTTTAATTTAAAATATAGAAATTAAAAATAAAATTAACATATTAAATAATTACATCAAAATTTTTTTAGACAAGAGGAGACAAGATTCTTTTATTTTATCAAATTATTGATAAAAACTTACAAATAAATAGAAATTTTTATAATTCTTAAAGTAAAATATTTGGTTCACAGACAAAATTATCACAAAAATATGTTATTTGTGAAATTTAATAAAAGTATGTAGTCTTCAATAATTTTAAAATGAAATTTTAAATAATACGGAGTAAATGCTAAGTTTTTGATATTTGTGATCATTTTATTTATAAATATACCATTTTACCCTCTTAAATAGTCAAGTGAACCTTTTTTTAAGAGGGTGAAATATTTTGTAAAAATAAAGAAAAATGCTAGGGGTACACCAAATGTGTACCCCATTTGTCCCCTACTCCCTCCTTGTCCACAAAAAAAAGACAAAAAATTCAAATAAAATAAATAAAATAAAAATAAAATAAAAATGAGTGATGGAGAAGGAGGTGGTATATATTTG